GATGCTGGGGTGGTGGGGCCTTGGACAGACACCTGAGCAGCAAGGACAGCGCAGCGTCTCTCTGTGTCAGCCAGCTTCTGCTGCATCTTCACGTACTCCTGCCTCAGCAGGGCCAGATGCTTCTGCAGCTTGGCCACCTCCTCTGCGCCACATTGATGTCATGCAGACAGAGGACAAACAAATATGCATGAATACAAAAGCCTGTTTAGTTTAATCATTGATGAACGAAATAGAATGGGAGAAAAGACACTATACTGTTCTTCCACAGCACAGAATAGTTTCATTTGCAGTACAGTATTCCAAAGCAATGACATACAGTAATTCATTAGTTACACCGGCACAAAGTGAGATCCAAAGCATGAAGGAGGTGAACTAATTATGCTCATGAGGGTCACAGGCTCAAGAAAAAAAAAGAAAAAAAAATCTTGCCCCAATTTAATAAAGGACAATTTTAACTGACACGACAAGAAGCATTCCTTTTAGAGTTACTGGTCAACCCAAATTTTTAGAGAAGACCAAGCATTTGATTGTGCAAGCGCACACAATGTTGTGGCCTATGATTGCATTCTGAGGTTATTTGTTGCTACAGGACATTTGTTCCATAAAAAAAAGAGATCAGAGAAGTATCAAATGGCGCGTATACATGTAGTTCCTTTTGGTGTGACTTTCTCTATAGCTCCTGATGTTGAAACTCTAAATCATGACTCAGCCAAGTCCACCAAGTTCCACTGGGGCCCCATTTCCTTCCTTTAAAGCACTAAACTATTTGTAAAGAGGATAAAAGTGCTGAGGAGGCTAGTTACTTTGTCCTGCCTTGTAAACTGTAAGTGGCAATGCTGCAAGTCATGTGACATCAAGAGAGTCGCTTTGGGAAAAAAAAAAGCATGTGGTCAGCCCCACATAAGAAGGGTGCTATACTGGAGCAGCATCTGAAAATTAAATAACCACGACGCAGCTCTGGTAAAATACAGGCCATGGTATTTTGTAGACTTTAGTTGTACACAATATGGAAATAATGTCATTGCCAGCCGTACCATGCATAGTAGGGGCTACCAAAAACGGTGCTAGTAAAAATTTGAAAGCATGTAAAAAACAAAATTTCGTCGAACTGAAACAGAAAACTGCGTGATAAATAGTTATCAGTACAAAGAAGTCATTTAAATGCACATATACAATTAAGGCGACATCATCGACCCTGTTTTAGCACAACTGTTCGCACTCTTGGTATTGCTTGGTAGGTGACTTTTTTGTAAGTTGTTGACAGCAGCAGCATTTTCCTTCTGTTGGTGGTCATGGTCATGACATTTGTAAAGGCAGCACAAACACCTGATAGGGAGGAAATGACATGAAGTAGCTCAACAGAATTCAGTGCTCCTATTTATTCAAAAGGAAGAGAATAGGTGCTATACGTGCATATATGTACGTCCAAAATATTTCACTCTGCTCAATTCAGCAGCACATGGTCTTTATTTTCTAACAGCGACGATCGGTTTTGCTTGTCACTTAATTAAAACTTCGGAACGAATGTTTTGCACAAGCACATTTGGCATCGGTTGCAGCACTATAGACGACTGTCAGTCTTTGCTCGTTCAGTTGAATAGAAGCGACAAAATAAACTGCTAGCAACATCGAGAGCTACTGATAAAAAGCTTGCTCACTTGCAAACTGAACAGGGCGATAACAATGTGTCGTGTTGTTTCGAAAGTACATGAAATCGGTACGACCAAGTTGGCCAAGCCATATAGCGTAACACGCCTACGCAAATAAAAGGGAGTGGACAGACAAGACCCCTAAAAAACCCAATCTCATACCTTCCGCCATGTTGCTCTGCGTTGACTTCGTGACCGGGCGGCGATCTCGCGATAAGACCAACACGGCCGAGAGAGGGCGGAAGCACCGCGTTCAAGCACGTCAATTGGAGTGCTGTCACGTGAACACGTCTGTGCTTGCAGAGTTGATTTGAATCTGTCGTAATGAGTGAAAACAATATTTTTTTTTCCTCCAACTAAAGGCAGTAATATACAGCTGCCTCTTGATTTGTGGAAGAACAGGTGACTTTCTTTCATAAATGTAATAGATTTTGAGAGGGGGTGTCCAAGCTTTTTTGTTTGAGGGTCGCACATATAAAATGGAATTATGCAAAGTCCACTTTAAAATTCTCCAACGATTATTAAACACGCTAAAAATCAGTCAAGGAAGCAACTATATATTGTTCATATTTTCTGATTATCTTGAAAAACCACTACATAACAACTTTCTGTTCAAGGTGATAAGGGAAAGTATAGTTTAGGATTTGCCCTTTGCTGTCCCCCCACTCTCCCTCTGCACTGAACAGCGGTCGAATCCCATCATCCACATTCAGAGCCAAAATAGGAACAAATTACTAAAATGACAATTTTTTTTGTTCATTAAAGCAACACTTTTTGATTCTGAAATTCCATCCATTTCCTTATTCTCACAAGGGTCACGGGGGTTGCTGGAGCCTATCCCAGCCGTCGTCGGGCAGTAGGCGGGGACACCCTGAACCGGTTGCCAGCCAATCACAGGGCACACAGAGATGAACAACCATCCACGCTCACACTCACACCTAGGGACAATTTTGATTGTGCATGCATGTTTTAGGAATGTGGGAGGAAACCGGAGTACCCGGAGAAAACCCACGCAGGCCCGGGGAGAATATGTGAACTCCACACAGGAAGGCCAGAGCCGGGATCGAGCCCATGACCTCTGCACTGTGAGGTTGACGCGCTAACCACTGGACCACGAGCCGGCCATTCTAAAATTGAAACATCTTTATTCAACAGTGTTTTGAAGAGAAATTTATTTTAGTCGTAATTAGTTTATTTGTATTTCAAAATATCTAGAAAAGCTCTAAAGTATATAAACCAATTTATTAATATTTTTTCATCACCCTATATTCTCACTTTGCCAACCTCTGCATTTTTTTAAAAAAATTAATTTCAGCCAAGCGGGCTGTGTCAAATGTCATTTTTAGGAAATGGCGTAGGCCACAAAGGGTCCCTGAGCTGTAGTTTGGACACCCCTGGAGTATGGAAATAATAACGTACTGGAAATGGAAGCGAGGCAAATAGATTTGCTTTCAGGAAATGCTTCAGCTAACTTTCTCAGAACAGATGTGCTATTTATGAAGGGCCCAGAACACAAAAGACTGAATTTAACACGCAATTTTTTTGGGGGGCGGGGGGACACAATATAATGGAAGAGCTCACTACAAGTGCCAGGTTTCATAACATGAAAAATACCCATCAGTATTTTGTCTTTGTACTTGAGCCAAAAACTGCAACCTTTCAAGTGAGCAGAATAACGAGGAGGTTGGATTTGATGAAAGAAGAGCACAAAAATCTGAACACATACACCGTATGGACAAACATTCACAAACAAAATGCCAGAAAAAAAACAAAATAAACAGAAAAAGAAAGACGAGCATGCTACAAATCCTACTATCGACAACACTGACCCCAAAAAAACAGAGCAGCCACTAAAAGAGCAAATTTTTGGAGGACCTTAAATTGTACCACGTGTACAAGACTACACTTCATTTCAGGAGATTTATTGCTACATTAAATTGGGAACAATAGCATTACTATACCGCGTGTGCTGGTTATCAGACCAATTTATACACTGCAAATATAGCATTTTTCCATTGATTTCCAACATTTCATTTACTACTTGCTCAATGCAGGATGATGTGGCCAAGCATTTGTATCTGGAGGCACTTTTGCAAAAAGACCCATTAAAAAAAACAGAAAAAAACAATTGTGCATGCACAAAATGAAAAAGTATGTTGCTTTGTTTCTTGATAAAAGAATGGGATGATAAGACTTTTAATAGTGAAATAAAACCCAATATTACTATCAACACATTTAAAGTTAGGTTGTCAAAAATGTTTTGGGAATCCATGATAAACATCAAATATGGCTGTTCTAGAAATGACAAAACTTTCATTCACAGCGTGCTTGAACCAATCAAGCCCTTCACAACAGTCTGATCCGCAATTTAAGACCATCTGTTGAAAAATAACAATAATTAGAATAATAATGGAGCACGTGTTGGAGCGGGGAAAAGGGTCAAATAAATCAGAGCCAGCGTGATTCAGTGAGACTAAAGGTGTGTTCACATGGCACACATTTTCTTCGGTGCTGCACCGATATATTTTGTTGCGATATATCTTACACCAGAGCAGATTTTGTGGAGCGTTCACACGTACAAATTGCCGCTGAGCGTGTTAACCCCGGTGCAGCCCCACTTGCGTTCACACGGCAGTTTCTGCAGCGGTGCAAAACAATAGAAAACAAAGAGCTGTCGTGTTGGTTCTTTTTAAAACATACACAACTCAAGCAACTACTGTACAGGCACGTCCTTCTCCTTCTCGGTCTTCGTGCGTTCTGCTTGAGAGGTGTTCAATGACCGCCCCCGAAAACGTAAATCAACGATGACTTCAATGACACTCAGAAAAGGAAACATATAATGCGCCAAACAGAAAATCAAGAGAGGAAATCACAAAATAAATTCTATGGGGGGGTTGTGAACACACAAGAGAGAACAAACTACACAAACAACTCCGAGACAGTCCAGTGTCCTACAAAAGGAAAGATGACGGAAGTACAACAGAGCACGAAAGCAACGCGTTCTAGCCGTATGTAATCAACTCTTCTCATGCGTAGCGAGGCTACTCCCCCCGCAAACGAGCATTTGCTCCGGAGCAAATTTTTAAACCACCTCCCTGAGCAGGGTTAAATTTGCTCCGGTTTAAGCTGTTTTCAGGGGCTACACCAGTGTAACTTTGCATGTGTGAACGCTCTACTGGGGCAGCCCCGGCGCAGCACCTGAGCAAATGTTGCCGTGTGAACACCCCTTAAGTGCATGATGTATGGAGAGGGATCTTATATATTATCCGGTTTAGTCTGTGCTATATACATGTCTTTACAATATCTTCCTGAATGTTGAAGCAGTTCATTGACTTGCAAAGTGTTGTTGGGGTTTTTTTTTTTGTCTGTTTTTTTATGTTCAGTTGGCACTTGCTTGGTGGTTGTCTTGTCAGCCGTGGTAGTCACTGTAATGTTCTATTGCAGCTTAGAGGAGCCAGTCATAGTCTTCCTGCCAAAATAAAAGGACGACGAGCCTGGCAAAATGGTGGAAGAGTGCAGGAAACAGTGCCATGTTGAATTTCAATTGCAGACCTGTGGAAAGGGCGCACAACACAGAACAGAAATTATCAAGATGAATCACAGTGGTACGACTTTCATGACCGCTCCCTAACGGTATCCTCAACATCTAAGGACCGAATTGGTCAATTTGTGCTTCGTGGTTCAGGCATCATGTCAACAAATAATTTCTCTGGATTTGATTTGCAGTAACGAAGAACAAACGTGGTTAGGGGAAATGTATCGGTGTAAAAGTATACATTTTATCGAGGTAAATGTAGGTGGCGTAAAAGTGAAAGTGGTGAGAAATAAAGTACAAGTGTGTGAAAGTTCCACTTGAGTTCAGAAACTAATTTGTACTCATTTAGATTCAAGATGTCTTATGAAGAGTTGTTTTTCAAGACAACGTGGTACCATTTCTGCAGCTCAAACTACTACAATGAACCTCCGCGAAATCGATTAAACTCCATCAGCAATTGATGACCCCACTAAAAAGGCTTACATTATAGTTGCCAATTCGCGCCGCTACTTTTGTCTAAATAACGCTCCTCAACTCATATCAACAGCTCCTTGGAACAAAGATGTCACTGGATGTCATTAAAATTAGACATATATATGCTTTGGTGGCCTTAGCACAAAAACGGCAACGAATTCAAGTTTTTTAAGCAAAAAGACCCGAGGAGAGGATTTTAAAAAACAATGTGCAAACAGAAAAAAATTGCAAACAGCAAATCGTGACTATATGGGGATTCACTATGGGGTTCCTGACATTCTTGCACATGCTAAGAATATGTACATGTACTTTGTGGAGGTGCGCTGCATGAGCCAGTCGATGAGCAATTTGAATACATGCAAAAAATTCCTCTGCAATTCTTGAAGATGCCAAGTCAAGCTATCAGCAAGAAACCTTCGCTTGGAAAAAGAAAAAAAATGCTCTGAAGAGGTTCCAACTTGCCAAAGAACACATCGCCTGGACGAAAGGGGAATGGTGCAACATTACTTCCAAGACTGTTAAAAACAAAATTGTTCTTGTGGCTGCAGAGTTTGTCCGGACAGCCCCCAAATACTGAATTCAAACTCCAGTGCACTGTGCAGAAAGTGATGAATGGTGGCACAATCATCAGGATAAGTGGCTGTTTCTCACACTAATGCTTTTGAGCCGACGTATGCCATGATGAGCATCGCGGATCAGATTGAAGACATCAGAATCCTCACACAGTTCATGTTAACTCCAAAAAGGAAATGCTCTTGAAACAAGACAATGAGCCCAAACACACCAGTAAACAAGCAGCATCTTGGTTCCAGACTAACAAAATAAAACACAGAGGGAAGAGGCCAAACCCCGTTTTCTTAATCCAATAAAGAAACAATTGGGTGACTTCAAAGGTGTCGTTTCTCAGGAAAAACCAAGACATGCAGAGGAATTGAGGAGTGTCATCTAATTGTCCTGGGCTGTAATACTCATTTTCACAGGTGCCAGATTTTGGGTGACACCATAAAACTAAGATGTGAAGCAGTTCAAACTGGCATAACAAAACTAAACTTGAGTTTATACAGTAAGTGTTTGAGAATCGCAAGAAAACTGCTGTCAGGAAAACAAGAAGTGCAGTATGAATATGAATGTAAAATTTGATTTGAATCCAAATAAGGGTTATTTGGGAGCCGTCAGTGGTCTCAATGAGCTCTTTGCCATTCGATTCAGAGTAAATGACTATTGTAATTTAAAGTCAATTTCAACTGGTGCTTTGAGACTTTATAGCTTCAGCAAAAACTTTACGTTCACATAAGAAAAGAATTTATTTTCAAATGTGGACACTTATCATTTTTTTTCCACATCTCCCAAAGAAAGGGTTCGAATCTCGCATACTTGCCCCGAAAACATGAATCGAGATCCTTGCTACATGTCACTCAAACGCAGTCTCTTGGCTTTTCCGTACACAGCGTGCAACTTTTCTTTTAAATGCTCCATGCCTGTCCTCCCGCCACTCTTTCTACAAAGGAGAAAAAAAAGGGAAGGGGGGGTTAGTTTGAAAGCTGTTTTTTCAAACATTCCTAATTTCTTGTGTTTTTAAAACAAGCCAACTTACTGCTGCATCGACGTTGGCTGGCGAGTCGCCATTTGGGTCTGCCAGCATGGAGATAACACTAATCATAATCGTTTCAACTGTATGGATGGGAAGCCAGCGCTCTTCTGGTTTTTCATAACCATACTTGTCCTCCCCGGGTTCGTGTAAAATAGAAATACATACATCGCCGTTCTTGTCAACTACAAAAAGCAAAGAATTCAATTAATGACATGACAGGACAACTCCAACAAGCTTCTTGTTTAATGTGTAGTAAAGTACATAGAGGTGCATCGCAATAAATTTGAACATCAGACAACGGTTTATTTCTTTTAATAGCTCAACTCAAAATGTGAAAATCAAAATAATGATTCGGGAAACGTATAGAAAATACTTTTCAGAACGAACATTTCCGAACTAATTATAAGTGTTTGTTATCTTACGTTCGGGCTTGAGATGGCGAATTTTGGGTTTTCCTATCCACGGGTAATTGGGACTGGGCCGGCCCGTGAATAGGGAAAGGCCGAGTAAAATTGATCGCCACTGAAATGCATGGTAAGGTTTGGGAAGGATAAATGAAAGCCAAACAAATCTTCAAAACACACCGATAAACCTCCAAAATGCGGGGATCCAAATATCGTGTCATGGAACTATCTAAGAGTGTTACTTTTTTAACTGAACCACTGAAATAAATTATGTTTTCCAGGTGACTTTTCCCACATTTCCTAGTACTGGGGGCGGGGGGTTTCATACCCAAATGCGACATTTCAAGGTAACAAATCGCATGGTATCGTCTCGCAGCAAGCAACAGAATGCTCAATTACTGCCATACTTAATGACTTTGTTGGGCTGGATGCATCGGTCCATATGGAGCTGGTTCACAAGTGTAAAAAAACACAATTAATTTCAGACCATCTCTTGTGACTGAATTTGCCTTATGTTATTTAAGATTTAATTATTGTTGTAGTTGAAGTGATATTGTTGGCCAATATCTGAAGTTGCATAATTACCAATGTTTGTTTGACATTCATACTCTGATTTAAAAAAAAAAAAAAAAACTTTAAAAATCACAACTCACCAGCTACACTGTATTAAAGTATTTCTTTTTTAACTGTTTTATGTACCTTGTAACTCGATGGCATGATAAGCTGTCCACTGTCGTAACCGCTGTCCCTGAAAGGGTTAATCGAGTACTTCGAAATGGAATTCAGTTCATAAATGGAAGACCCCCTATACAGAAGCTCCAAATGTGTCGGACTGCAAAGGCCTCTCTTGCCAGAGCCTTTTGCAGATCAGCACATATGTTTTAAATTGGATTTAGGTCTGGCTTCTGGCTGGATCACAAGATCTAGAAATTGGAAGGGTTCATAAGTGTCACCACCTTCACTCAAGAACCTGTTCGAGCAAAACAAAAAACCACAACTATGATGCTATGATATAAGTCTGATGCTGCAACCACAGCGATCCACTTTGATAGAGGATATTATTTTGGAATGGCTCAGCCAGAGCCCAGAACTCAATCCACGACTAATTAATTACTTGACTGCATGACGTAATTAAAGGTGATTCAACAAGATATTAATTTGATGATCTTGAGCTTACAGTACTTTCTCATCATAATAGTTATTGGTTGTGAACAAAAATAGTCCCTATTTATGAAAATCATGCATATTTTCATGGTGAACCATAAAGGAAGCCTTGTTAATCATGAATAATTTTGGATTTTTTGCAGGTATTTTAGCAAAAACATCGTGCATCTCCCGGCTGTACCTACCATTAGGGTGCCAAATATCTGTGATAAATTTCATTTTCGGTGGCCTGAGAGGGTAGTCTTTGGGAAATGTCAGATGAGCTTTAAACACACCACCTTCACTGTGAACAGTAAAACAAACAAATAAATTATTTTAACAATGTCAAGACTTTTAAAACATTCAAACCCGTAAGTGACAAGAGCAAGTCAGATGTAAGAATGTAACGCGGTATCATTCAACATATAAAAGGTGACGACTTACTAAAGCGTGTCCGGTGGCCCAATGATTAGAACTTCCCATCTGTACAGATCATTATCCTCAATCAGGCCAGCTGAGAATCCTTCTACCGGGTTTTTATTCAGCTCTGGAGACAAAAACAAATGGCAAGTTAAGTCAAACCAAGTTATCTGTCTCTGCGATTTTCGAACTTGGTGGTCGCATGAAGATCCAGCATTTGTCGTTTACATCACCTCTGTAATGACTCTGGCAAGACTTTCAAAGGCAGAATAGTAGCATGATGAACCAATGAACTAGTTTCTGGAGTGTTATAAGAATATGTCACAAAAGGCATGCTTTTGTTTCATTGTACTTAGAATTCATCGCACCCAACACCCGCTAAAAACAACTAAACAACGGCCCAAAAAGTGTCACAGTTTAAAATAATAATAATATTAAAAAAATACAATTTGTTACACAAATTCAACTGTTAATTTCCCTGTATTGAGTGCCAACTCTGCATCTACGACCGCATGTCAGATAAGGTATAAACAGGAAAATGCTCATGCCGATAACAGCTAGCCCCACAAATCCTTTTCACACATCATACTGAAATGTGCTTATGACACAAGTTGTTACTCACTAGATCACGTTTTGCGAGTCCAGAGTCACAAATATTTATATTGTACAGTACCGGAGTTTTTTTTCAATTGCATCCCTGTCCTGCACTGGAGTGGCTAATGCTGTAGCAAGGATGCCCAACTGAGCATAGACCTGCCTTATTATGGCACACAAACACACACACATCCAGTCATAGCTACTTGGTAAACATATACCGTAAATAATAAATACTCAAATAAATAAACGTGCAGCTGTAGACAAGTAGTTGAGATCGCGAGCTACCACCAATGGGACGCTAGTTCAAGCCTCCCTTCTCCAGTGTGAGCCTCGAGTAGTGTATGTTTTCTGTGTCCACTACTGTGTTGCTGAAGTGTTGCAATGCTGAGGTCAAATGTCATGGATGTGTTCATGTGACAAATAAAGAGGATGATTCTTCTAATAACATAAAAACTACTTTAACAGATTTCGTCTATTACGGGGGAATGTCTTCCACCGTGAACGAGGGAGAACTGCTGAATTTTTCAAGAGGGAAAGAGAATGTTTCGGTAGTGAGTGAGTGTTTCAGTAGTGTTCGTGGCAGCGTACTCGAAGTACTCTCACTGGACGCGTTTCAGTGGTGTCTATAAGAGTATTTTACTATTGTGTGAAAGAGGTCAATCCTTGAATATTGTTCATAAGGGTGGCCGGCGGCCCCTCATATCTGACAACGAATGTGCAACTTATCTGAATGCATCATGATAGCGTTGTCTCCGACTACGTACACTACAGGAGGTTCTTGTTTAAAAACAACACCGTGTCTGTCAACATACCGTGTCTGTCAACAATCACTTCGACAAGCTTCCCGCAGTTTATTCAATTCGTAATGGGACATTCGCGTTAGTGTGGGACATTGTTGCAAACAGTTTGCGACCGTGCCATCGCATTGAGTCTCAGCTAAAATGTTCATTAGCAAGGCAGGCAACATCCGCTAACGCCAAATGTTTATTTACCTGCGAGCTGTCTCCTGAGTAACAGCGCTGATTGAGGCTCTGTCATAGTTTAGCCAATGTGATGCAGCTATTGTGAACAGTAATATGCCGAGGTAACAGCGTTTAATTCTCGTTAACTGCACAGTGCGCTGTCTCCTTTTATTTTCCGTTTAGCACTCGCGACATGTCTTCTTCTTCGTTGGCTTTAGCTGCAGTTCTCTCTCTACTGAGCACCGCTACCGTTTCTTCTTCGTTGGTTTCCAAGCAGCTGGTGTCCTCAAAGGTACGTTGCTGCCATCTTCTGAAAATTAATTGTATTTCAAACACAGCACTGTACTGTACCCTCGAGTAAGGTACAGATGCCCAAAAAATAATTTACTGTAAGTACAGTAATAAAGTATTTCCCACTAATGTTTACAAGACATACGTGAGCTATTTTTATTGATTCCCCAAACCTGCAATGACCTGAAAACGTCCTGAAAAAGTCATGAAAGATATTTTATTTCACATTGTTCAATTTTATATTTGAGGCTCATTTGAGATTCATAATTGTAATCTTGGATAACTGGTTGCCCTGTGAATTACTGGTCAACGCTGTATATCCCATATACAAAGTAATGCAGGAAAGGTTTTGCAATCCAGAAAAGGATATAAATAGAAAATGGAGGATTAGTGGGAATATGTAAATGTGAATGGGCACATTGAATGTCAGTGTGAATTACACACACACTTGCAACAACATGCCGGTTGATCAGCTGCACTGTTTTTGTCCCACTTTCACTTATGATTCATAGATATTGTGCCACAAAAATATGTTTTAATATAGTAAGACCATCTCACTTAAAACCATTGTGTGGTGATTTAACTGACATCTGGAAGTCACAACACATTCATTTAGCCCTCATCACCTGACAGCCACATGTGATAGGACTTGTGTTTGCGTAAAGCGAATAGCCACGATCCATTATTGATTGTTTACATTGATCTTTAAGTTTGGACCTGGGAAAAGCTGCATTGCCTTAAGACCTTTCGTGCTAAATAAATATGAAATGTTCTTGTGCTCTTTTGTGGGTGTGAGAAACTGAAAAACAGAAACACAAGTGTTGCAGATGAACAAACCCACACCAAAGCAACATAAGGTAATGGTTACCAATATTAATCCTTTTCTTCTCTTGTTTCTCAAGAAAGAAGTGGGAGGAAATGAACGTGATAGATGGATTGTTTACAGCATTGCAAGGCAGAGAGGAACAGTGTGAAAGCATTTAGCCATCCCTAAAATGGGCTGTCCCTCACTTACTAACTCAATATAAGAGCAGGGCCTTCATTTGGCTTCCTCATGCCTCAGAGACACGCTGGGAGCTCTTCGGTCATCTGACTACCGCCACCATGGAATGAACAAGATCGTCAACAAGTATGTCAGTTCACTATAAATTGTCAGTCAGGCACTGGAAATGATGTTGAAAGCCGACAGTGAAGTCACACTAAAAATGGACCTCCTTTGAGGGAGCAAAAATCATTATTTGCTGTTGTTTTCAATGATTGCAGAGCAGAATTTCCCATGAAGCGGATAGAATGTATTTTTATTTCTTTATATTGTGAAATGGCAGACTTTTTTTTTCTAAATCCGCTTCTCTTATTTTCTGTCACCCTAGTTTCACCATACTTATGTAACAGTCTTCTGGGGATATTGGTTTAAAAGCACCCTTGTATTAAATGCCGAATACACACAATTACACACATGTCAATAAATTACACGGAAAGCAAGAGAAGCCACATTAATTTCAACATTTGTAATCTCCTTTGAGTTCAAACCAGTCGATCGTGTTTCTTCATTTTTACGACTAAAACAAGTTCAGCAGTTTTGTGAGGAGAGGTGTTTTGATTCCTCTGAAACTGGGAAACTACAATCTCCCCCCAGTCCAGGTGAGGAGAAACCTGCTCACCATGGAGCTGAAAGGATCTGTTACCATCGGCCAAGATGGGCCACAACCTCGAGCGAGTCTGGGTTCCATCTCCAGTCTGCACTATGGCTCATTTGTGAACAGTCTTTCTTCACTGACACCCAAACTGGACGAGAGACCTGCGATATCACGTCGGCGAGCCCACATCACTGTTGCTGTGCTCTGCTATGTCAATTTACTCAATTACATGGAGCGATACACAATTGCAGGTTTCTACACACAGGACAATGCTGCCTCTCTCCCGTACAACATGTTCAACTGTGGTCAATGAGCCGAATTGCAAATAATTGTTTTTTATTATATATAGGTGTACTTCTCAACATACAGACGTTCTTTGATATACATGACAGTACAGCCGGACTTCTGCAGACAGGTAAAATGATGATCTCTTTGAAAGTCCTTAACCAAGTGCATGTTTTGAAAGTCCCTCACTCCACCCTCCATTGCTTCACAAGGAAGTGCTGCAATGCAGTTGCAGAACATACAGTTTGCGATTGCATCAATTTGTGCTGCAGTGACCGTCTCACAGCACTGAAGATACTTGGACCAGAAAACCATATCTCAGCACAGTGGTTTGGGCAAAAAAAAACAAAAAAAACTTTAGTCTTTTCACTGCATCATACAGACCTTTTTTTTTTTTTTTTTAACACAACATCACAACTTCTAAGAAAAGGCACACACTTGAGGCAGAGTTGCGTATCAGTGGAAGCTAAGTGAGACTCAGGCGGTAGAGATGTGAGGAAGGTCAGAAGTGCAATCGTGCCGCATCGGCACTAAAGTGCTGTGTGCAAAAAAAACAAAAACAGAATGTGCTGTAGATGAGGTGATTACTTTCTAGTAGGTGAGGAGCGTTTTGGATTATTTTCATGAACTTTATTTTGCAAAATATTGGGACAAATATAAAGAATCCACCCATTCATTCGCGTTTATCCTCGCTATGGTCACAGATGGGCTTCAGCCCATCCCGGCTGACTAACATGATGAGGTGGCGCATACACACACACACACACACACACACACACACACACACACACACACACACACACACACACACACACACACAAAGCGAACCTAAAATACATGTTTTGGGAATGTGGAAGGTGGACTCGGAGAAAGTCCACGCAAGCACAGGGAGGACATTCAAACTCAAGACACGAAACCCAGGGCCGATATTCAAACTCTGAACCTCAGAACTGTGAGGCAGGCATGCTAACCACTAGCTGCCCCAAATGCAATAATACTAATACTGCACTGTACACAAAATCACAACTCAATATAAAATGATACCAATTGCTGAAAGGTATTCTATGAGATTATTAGGCAGCCCGGTGGCCCAGTGGTTAGCGCATCGACCTCACAGTGCAGAGGTCATGGGTTTGATCTTGGCTCCGACCTTCCTGTGTGGAGTTTGCATGTTCTCCCCGGTCCTGCGTGGGTTTTCTCCGGGTACTCCAATTACCTCCCACATTCCAAAAAACATGCATGGCAGGTTAATGGAACACTTTAAATTGTCCTTTGGTGCGAGTGTGATGGTTGTTTTCGTCTCTGTGTGCCCTGCGATTGGCTGGCAACCGGTTCAGGGTGTCCCCCGCCTACTGCCCGAACACAGCTGGGATGGGCTCCAGCATGCCCCGCGACCCTTGCGAGGATAAAGCGGATCAGAAAACGGATTATTAAAGGAACACCCAATTTCTTAGCAATGTTATTTATTTATTTATTTTATCATATGTCAGCTGGTATATTCATTTTTAAGCGTCTTATCAAATGGGAACAGCCTTGGAAGAATAACTGCTAAAATCTGTAGCCTGGAAGATATGCAACCCATACTGCCAAATACATAACAGAATGTATTATCACAAAGTTATTTCTTAATTTTTTCAGTACTGTTTTCAGACTCCATCGGTCCTTTCATCCATTTTTAATTACTTATCCCAGTCAAGGTTACGAGTGACAGAGTAAAATATACTTATGTTTGTATTATGAAAATAATTATCATGATAATGGGGCGGCATGTGGTGACTAGCATGTCTGCCTCACAGTCAAAAGGATGACAATATTCGCTCGGGCCTTTCTGTTTGGCGGTAGCATGTTCTCCCCATGCCAGCTTTAGTTTTCGGCACTCCACACACAAAAAAAAAAAAATCACACAAACAGTTGAATGAAAATGGTTTCATCTCACTTTACTCCTATTTAGTTGAACGCAAAGCTGCTGCTTTGTTCTTTGAATGGCAACAGCTAAAATTCTTGTAGTATATAACAATTTTTTGCCTTGTTTCTCGTGTTAAATTTTTAAAGTAGTTGTCCTCCCATCAAGACTCCATTGTTAACATGATATACTAAAACACTCACAGTTTTCATCTGCAGCTTCCTGCTGACGGCCCCTCTCTTCGGTTACCTTGGCGACCGCTACAACCGAGTACATATCATGGCGGTGGGCTTGACTGTATGGCTGGTGACTGCAACTGGCAGCTCTTTTGTTACTAACTCGGTATGTGCAAAAGAGATGTGCTCGCATACACTTCAAGAAGCTTTACCTCTTCGAGCAGCACGTCACTGCTGACTTCATCATGTGTTTATTTATGCATTTATCTTTTTAAGGGACGTTCTAAAAACAATAGGATACACAGTGTTATGTTCAGTGTTATAGCACACCGGACGAAATACTGATCATGTGCTTCTATGATGCCTTCATCTGTCAAGTACTTTTGGCTTCTGGTGCTGTTACGAGGCCTGGTCGGGATAGGTGAGGCGAGTTATTCCACTATCGCTCCCACCATTATCGGGGACCTTTTCACTGGGGGACAACGGACCATCATGATTGCTGCTTTCTACATCTTTATCCCGGTTGGGAGGTCAGATATTTTGTGTCCATGATGCGTGATTGAATTTGAGTTAGCCTTTTTTTTTTCTTACCATCAGCCCCTTAAAATGACTTGTGTATGTGTGTCCTTAGCGGCCTTGGCTATATAACAGGGGCGTCAGTAGCAAGCCTGACTGGTGACTGGCACTGGTCTCTCAGGGTGAGTACACCCTATATCACTCAACCTGAAAATATTTTAATAGAGCACTAACAATGACAACTTGCTTTGCGTGTTACTGTGTTGACAGATAACTCCCATTTTCGGTCTTGTTGGACTGTTTTTAGTGGTGCTGTTATGCCCAAACCCACCCAGGGGGGTGGCAGAAAACAACCACCATGACGGTAACAACCGGAGTTCATACCTGGAAGACATCAAGTATCTTCTAAAAAAGTAGGACATTTAAAAAAAA